AGCATTTTTTAGTATATAGCTTTTTCAGTGGTTGCTGTAGGTATTGCATTTTATACACACATATCATTATTTTTCCAATTTGAGTGAGGTGCAGAAACCTTACCTCCCTTTATATCCATTTACCCCATTTATAATACAACTGTCTTAAAAATTTTTTCTACATTCATTTAGGCAGTGTTATAATTTTTGCTTCAACCATCATACACAACTTAGGAAACTCAAAAGGAGAAGTAAAATATATTGTATTTATCCATATTTTTCTTCTTTCTGTTTTTTTTGTTGTTGTTGTTGATGTTGTTGTTTTTGCTTCCTGATGTTCCTAGCTTCTTTCTTTTGTTATTTCCTTTGTGTATAGAGAGTTTTCTTTAGCTGTTTTTTTAGGGTAGGTCTGCTGACAACAAATTTGCTTATCTTTGCTTATCTTTATCTGAGGATGTTTTGATTTTCCCTCTATTCCTGAAGGATATTTTCACTGAGTATAGGATTTCAGATTGATGTTTCTTTTCTTTCAGCACTTGAGAAATGTTGAGCCACTTCCTTCTGGTCTCTGGTTTCTGATAAAAGTCCACTGTCATTCTAATTGTTTTTCCCCTGTAGGTAAGACATTGTTTCTTACTACTTTCAATATTTTTTTATTTTTAGTTTTCAGAAGTTTGACCATGATCTGTCTTTGTATGGATTTCTTTAGTTTTATTCTCCTTGGGGTTCACTCAGCTATTTGAGTCTGTATGCTTACATCTTTTGGCAAGTTTACAGCCATTATTTCTTCAAATACTTTCAGCTCTGACTTCATTCTCCTTTCCCTGTAGCTGATGACATAAGCATTAGATCCTTTATTATAGTCCTACAAGTCCCAGAGGTTCTGTTCATTTTCTTTTTTCCAGTCTGTTTTCTATCTGTTTTCGGATTGGATAATTTCAATTGTTCTATCTTCAAATTCATGGATTCTTTTCTCTAGCTCCTTTATTCTATTGCTGGGCCCATCCATTGAATTTTTAAATTTTGGTTATTGTATTTTTTAGCTCTAAATTTTTCATTTGGTTTTTCTTTATATCTTCTATTTCATTTCTGAGACTTTCTGTTTTTTTCCATTTGTTTCAAGTATGTTCATGATTGCTTACTGAAGCATTTTTATTATCACTGATTTAAAATCTTTGTCAGATAATTCTGATATCTCTGTCTTGGCATCTATTGTTGCTTTTCTTAATTCAAGTTGAGATTTTCCTGGTCCTTGGTATGGTGAATGATTTTAGATTGAAATCTGAACATTTTGTATATTATGTTATAAAACTATATTTCTTATTTAACCCTTTTGTTTAGCTGTCTTCTTTTGATACCATTGCAGAAAGGAAAGGTTGGCGGGGGGGGTGGCATCTGTGCCAAGTGGAGGTAGAATTCCAGGTTCCCCACTCATCCTCCATGGACACCCAAGGAAGGAGGGGCTCCTCTCTATAACTGGTGAGGGTGGGAGTTCCTACTCCCAACTACGCTTCTACTGTAGCACCTGGCTGGGGGTTGGGGGGGTACCTTGTTACTACTCCCCATTTGGCCTCCACTGATATCACAGGAGGATGGAAAAAGTAATCTTGTTGTGTTGGGTGATGGTGAAAAGTCCTGACTCTCCACTATGCCTCCTCTGACACCATCCCAGTGGAAAGGGAAAACGTTGCCTCCTCACTGCCAGGTGGGAGTGGTATTCCAGACTCCCCCCATGGTCTCCCCTGACACTGCAGGGTGGTGAAGCTCCTTACTGCCTGGCAGGGATGAAAGTCCCTGCTCTCTTCTTGGCCTTCTCTGCTGACACCCCAGCAAGGGAGTTGGGGTCTCTCATGACAGCCTGGTAAGGGTGGAAGTCTAGGCTCTCAATTCATCCTTTGCCGGCATGGGTGGGGGTGGAGCCACATTTTTTTGTTTTTTTGGTGATATTCTGCTGGAGTAAACTGGATGTTGTCTAAAAGTTTTCTTTCTTTCTTGTCTGTCACTTTCCTGGTGCTTTGGCTAGACATAATAGGCTTTTGGGGTTGTTTTGTTTTGTTTTGTCTGTTGTTTGTCTGTGCTTGTTGGCATTTTCTGGGTTGCCATCTTCTTCAGCTCAAATATGGGATAGATGAGGCAAAAAGAAAACCCACAGCCATGCCATTCCTTTGGTCTCAAGTTCCCCAGATGGTCTGCCTTCTTTTTTCCACTTTTCATAGTCTTCTTATGTTTGTTTTATATATAATATTCAAGGGTTTTAGTTGTCCTTTGTGGGAAAAATAGGAAAAAGTATGTCTACTCCATTTTCCTGGAAGAAAAAGTCCATTTTTTCCATTTTTAAAAATATGAGGTACATGGGTCTTCAAAAATTCATGAGAAGGTTTGTATTATCTTTCAATTCTCATTGCTTCTTGGCCTTTTGGCTAAGATCACATGTAGTACCTTTCAGTTTTTTCTATTTTTCCGTGAACTTTTTGAAGTACCTTGTATATGTTTGCATTTTCCCAGTTTTAATGTGTTTCTAGCTTCCACTGGGAGTAGGAAAAGGAAAAGGGTTTACAAATGATGGGAGAATTCATTGTTATTTTATAGAAAATTTATTTTTAAGGCATTTTACTCATTATCGTATACTAATTTATATTATTTGAATGTATTGTCTTTTAAAAACTTCTGAATTCAAAATAAAATATTTAGTTCTTTTCTATATAGTGTTAGAGGAATTTGAAAAGGAAAAAACACTCCCTAGATATAATTTTTCTCCCTGTTCCTTTCCAGCTTTTTCTAAATATACATTTTCCCATAATAGGTATACATATACATATATATTAGGTTTTGTTCCACAGTTTTACTTTGATAAATATTTTTCATGTTGGTGAATAGTCTTTATATCACTTTCAAGTCTCATTATCTTTAATTCTCTTAGCCATTAACAGGTCTCCATTTAGTCCCTATTGTAAATAACATTGTTATGAGCATTATTGTACAGTCAGCCTTTTTCTTATAAATTATTTTATTGCAGTACATTCATTGGTGTGCAATTATTCAAAGAGTCTGAACACTTTTATAGTTCTTGATCTGTATTGCCAAGTGTCCTTCTTGAAGAATTAGAACACCAACTATAATTTGTGAAGCATGCTGTGCTCGGCTCCAAGGCACCCAAAACAAAACTTTAGATTGAGGGAATAAAAATAAAATTGGCGTGTTTATGTTCACTCTACTTTTCATCCACACTCTCTAACCATTAAAGTTCCTTCCTCTTGGTTTCTGTGGCTCATAGTCTCCCAGTTTTCTTCCTCCCTTTCTAGCTTCTCAGTCTCTTCTGCTTGCTCTTTACAAGTCTTTAGGCTTCTGCCTAGGATGATCCTCCTCCTCTCACTTTCCCCTTTCAACCTGGATCATCTCCTCCAATCCCAACTTTTCTGCTCCCATTCTTCTGTACTTGTGTCTTCACCACAGACATCTTTCCAGTCTATACCCACATTCCCCCATCTTGGTCTACCATCCACTTGCACATTTGCCCCAGTCAGAAATCCAGGTGTCCCATCAGTGATTCCTTTTTCTTCCTCATTTGCCACACCCAATAAATGACAAATCTTATCAATACTGTATCTTAAATATCTCCAAAATCCATCCTAGTTCTAGTCACTGTTATTTATTACATGGATTAGCACAGCAATCTTTCAACTAGGTTCCCTGCCATGCGGCATCCAAATGATCTTTCTAAAGCACATTATCTCTTTTGCTTCTGGGACTATACACATCTTATTTATTGTCATCCTAGAATACCTTTGTTTTTGCATGTTTTCATCAACACCAACACCCCCCCCAACTCCATGCGCACATGCACATATACACACACTTCTACCTTTACATTCGTCTAGCTTGTGCCTCCTCATCTATCAGGCCTCATACTAGTGTGCTTTCTACTGGATTAATCTAATCACTTGTTTACTTATCCTTATCTCTCACTAAATTGTAAGCTCTTTAGATCAGAGATTATGTCCTATTGTATACCCAGTGCTGCCAAAGTACCTGGTGTTTATTGAGTGATTTTTTAATCTTTATAACCTGTGTCTGCCTGATGCCATGCTAAAAGTTGAAAAAGTATAAAACTCATTTAAACTGATTGTTTGGCTATAAACAAAAATCTATGATGGGAGCTGGCTAGTTAGCTCAGTTGATTAGAGTGGGTGTTATAACACCAAGGTCAAGGGTTCAGATCCCCAAACCAGCCAACTGCCAAAATAAAAATAAAAATAATATATCTATGATGAGTCATCTCCCTGAATGTGAGTAAAAAATATGACCCATTTGCTTTTTAAGTTTATTTATAAGAATAACTGTTTTGCTATAGAATTCAAGTTGAAAATCTTCCTTGCAAATACTTTGACTTGCAGCTTTTTTCCTCCTTATTCTTCTACTATAATAAGCATTTTGATAGTTTTTATTGTTATTATATTTGCACCAAGTCCCAAATTAGGAGAAAGTAAGCAGAAGGAAAT